CGGGCGTGGTGGCTCACACTTGTAATCCCAGCACTTTGGGAGGCCAAGGTGGGGGGATCACTTGAGGTCAGGAGTTTGAGACCAGCCTGACCAACAGGGTGAAACCCTGTCTCTACTAAAAATACAAAAAATAGCCAAGCGTGGTGGTTGGCTGCCTGTAATCCCAGCTACTTGGGAGACTGAGGCAGAAGAATTGCTTGAGCCCAGAAGGCAGAGGTTGCAGTGAACTGAGATCGCGCCACCGCACTCGAGCCTGGATGACAGAATGACACCTGTCTCAAAAAAATAAAATAAAAAGGAAAGAAAGAGAGAAGAAAGAAAGAAAGAAAGAAAGAAAGAGAGAGAGAGAGAAAGAAAAGAAAAAAGAAAAGAAAAGAGAAAGAGAGAGAGAGAAAGGAAGGAAGAGAAAGTTACATAACTTCATTTTGCAGAATCTGAGAGTCACATAAGGAGAGGAAAATCGTCCACAATCCCAGTGCTTTATCCTTTCCCCAGACTTCTACATACACACTCTTATTTTTAAAAATTGAGGTTCTATACACGGTTTGATCATCTACCTTTAAAACCTTTTTTGCTGGCCAGGTGCAGTGGCACATACCTGTCATCCCAGCACTTTAGCAGGCCAAGGTGGGAGGATCGCTTGAGCCCAGGAATTTGAGACCGGCCTGGGCAACATGGCAAAACCCTGTCTCTACAAGAATAAAAATTAGGTGGGTGTGGTGGCATGCGCCTGTAGTCTCAGCTACTCAGGAGGCTGAGGAGGGAGGATCACTTGAGCCCAGGAGGTTGAGGCTGCAGTGAGCTGTGATCATGCCATTGCACTCCAGCCTGGGAAACAGACCCTATCTTAAAAAAAAAAAAAAAAAAAGGACACGGTGCCCATCAGATCAGTGGCAAGGATAATGAAAATAATACAGTGTGCTGAGGAAAAGCGGTATTTCCAGCCACCTAAAAGTAAGCCTGAAAGGCCAGGTGCAGTGGCTCACGCCTGTAATCCCAGCTCTTTCGGAGGCCAAGGTGGGTGGATCACAAGGTCAGGAGATCGAGACCAACCTGGCTAACACGGTGAAACCCCGTCTCTACTAAAAATATAAAAAATTACCCAGGCGTGGTGTCCAGTGCCTGTAGTCCCAACTACTTGGGAGGTTGAGGCGGGAGAATCACTTGAACCAGGGAGGCAGAGGTTGCAGTGAGCCGAGATTGCTCTACTGCACTCCAACCTGGGTGACAGAGCAAAACTCCATCTCAAAGAAAAAAAAAGTGAGCCTGAGAGAGAAATGCACCGAGTCACCCATCAGAATGAGGAGCTGTGGTTCCCTGGTCAAGGGCCATGGCCTGGGACGGGGTCAAAGTCCTGTGGGTTCTGAGGCTGACCCAGGGCTGCAGGTGAGGTGGCCCCAGCATCCTCGGTCACTGTCCTGATTTTATGGATCAGGAGCTGAGGTCACGCCGGGCTGGCCTGGGCACGTCACACTTACTCAGAGTTTGTGACGGGTCAGAAGTCTAATTTCCCGTCTTTCTCTATCACGGTCCTGGAACCGTGCTGCTGCTCCATTCGCTGACCCGGCCGGGTGGAGCCTCTGAGTCTTCTGTGAGTGCAGGCGCCTTTGGGTGGGAGGGAGGAAAATTCCTGCAGCCCCTCGTTTCTTGAGTTGGTGCGTGTTTACTAGCAGGACCTTGCTTTAGATGCAGGACTGGGTGGAGGCTCTTGCTTCTGCTTGCATGTGTGTGTGAACGTGTGTGTGCACGTGTGTGTGCACTTGTGTGTGTCTGTGTGTGCACGTGTCTGTGTGTGCATGCAAATGTGTATGCATGTGTGTCTTGTGTGTACACGTGCGTGTCTGTGTGCGTGTGTGTGCATGTGTGCATGTGTACAGTGCACGTGTGTGCACGTGCATGTGTGCGTGTGTGTGAGCGTGCATGTGTGCATGTCTGTGTGTGTGTGAGTGTATGAGGTGTTTGCATGTGTGTGCATGCAAATGTGTGTGCATGTGTGTCTTGTGTACATGTGCGTGTCTGTGTGTGTGAGTATGCACGTGTGTGCGTGTGTCTGTGTGTGGGCATGTGTGTATGTGTGTGTGTGCATGCATGTGTGCCTGTGTGTGTAGAGGTGGGAGGGGAGGCAGTCCCCTGGATGTCTGTAGGTCACTAAGAGGTCAGGGATCCCACATGGAGTGATTCTGCCCCCCAGGGGACCCTGGGCTGTGTCTGGGGACATTTGTGGCCAACACAGCTGTGGGTGCTCCTGGCATGGAGCAGGTGGAGGCCAGGGGCGCTGCTCAGCACCCCGCAGAGCCCAGGATGGTCCCGCCCCAGAGAACAATCCGGCGCTGGTGTCCGTAATGCTAGGTGTAGAGAGAGACCCCGGCTTAGGAGAAGGTGACCCCAGCCACCGCCTTCCTGCAGCTGAGACCTGGGAGCCTCCGGAAAAGGCAGGATTCGCCCTCCCCGGCTGGGCTGAAGGTGGGGAGGCTTCCCGCCGACCTCAGCTTCCTTGGCCTGGGATGCAGCCCCGGGGCGCAGGGCTGCTGAGAAAGTGTCGTGTGTGCGTCGCCCGACTCCAGCCCAGGACAGCAGCCGTGTGGCTCTTCTTTGTGTCGGTGGAAAAAAACCCATCGGTGGGTGGAAACAGCAAATGTTTCTGAAGGAAGAGGGGCTGGGCCTGCTTCGGAGACCACAGGGGCCCTTCAGGGCAGGAGGGAAACAGCCTCGGCCACGTGAACCCGGCCTAGCCCGGCCTTGAGCAGCTCAGGAGGTTGGGCCTGGGTTGGGCCCAGTGCAGGGGGCGTCTGCTGACCTCGCCGGGCAAGGCCACTGCAGGGTGAGCCTCGCTACGCAGGACGGAGCCTCCCCTGGCGCTGACAGTGCCACAGCTCCTGGCTTCTCCAAGTGGGACCAGTGGCTCAGCAGCAGAGCAGTGGTGGCCTAACCAGGAGACACAGAACCGGGCATCTGGGCTCACTGTGCATAAGTCCCGGCCCCATGACCTCGGCTGGTGTAGACGCTCAGCAAGGCAGGGGCCTCTGCCTGCCTGGGCCTCCTTGTCCACAAAATAGGAGGCTGCTGCGAAGCTGAAGGAGGCAGATGGCTGCCTGCCTCTCCCTCCAGGCCTTAGTGGGAGTCAGGAAAGACCACGGAAGGTGGTCCCTGTGGCCCTGTCACGACCCGTGCACTCTGCATCAGAGACGGATGCAGGACCCAGCTGTATCCAGGGTCCGGCTTGGAGCAGAGGATTCTGTTCCATGGAAAACCACAGCTCCAAAGGCCCCAGTCCTCCCCCGTCCCGCCCAACCCCGGAGACCAATCACGGGGACATGGAGCCGTCCTTCCCTTCCTATTGACCTCCTGGCCCTGGGCGGCTCACATGAGACCCCTGGCCTTCCTGCCCCCTGTATACCTGTCATTTCCTCCATTCGGGGTTAATTGGTTTGTCCCCAGTTTCCACTTTCCACCTCTCCCTTCGCCCGGCACGTGGCTTACATCAAAGTAGAAATCAGAGATGGAAAAACACCAAAGGATGCCATGGGAAGGCTCCGTGCCTGGATATTTTGTTTTTCTTGCACTGGTGTGTCTGATGGACTAGATGTTGAGTGTGGGGTTGGGGCTCCCTTGTTCTGAAATGGAATAACACAAGTTTCTAGAAAGATAATCTGCCCTGTTGTCCTGCAACAGAAACCTACAGGTCTTTTCCGCGTGGATCGGTGGTAAACAATAAAGCTGATTCTGCCCCCGTTTTCTCCGGAGGGGCACGGCCGTTTCGAATCCCCATGCCTCATTTTTGGGGACAGCAACATCGTTCGCCGATAAAAGCTGGAGGTAGCTCTGTGAGTTCCTTGTAAGTGAAAAATATGTAACCATGCTTTTCTCTTTCTCTATCCTTTTTTAAACAGGGTGTACAGCAAGCCGTGATTCCTGAGGAAACTAAAAAAGGTATGTGGCATTTTCTCTTACTTCATGAGCTTGGAATCTCTTGTTTTTTAGAAAAAGGAACAAACAAGCTCTAGTCTTTTATGTGTGCCTGACACACTGGGAGGTTGAGTCATCCCATAAAAGGGCTCTGGGCTCGGAGCCAGGAAACCTGAGTTCAAATCCCAGATCCCCTTTTACCAGCTCTGCCCCGTTTGGGTGGGTTCCGGTCAACTGTCTGCGGAGGAGATGACGTTCTCCGTTTTGCAGGAAGGTTTCAAAGATTAAACAAGGATATAGATACAAAAATATAAAAATGGCTGGGGGCAGTGGCTCACGCCTGTAATCCCAGCACTTTGGGAGGCCAAGGCAGGCGGGTCACCAGAGGTTGGGCGTTAGAGACCAGCCTGGCCAACATGGCGAAAACCCGTCTCTACCAAAAATACAAAAATTAGGTGGGCATGGTGGCTGGTGCCTGTAATCCCAGCTACTCTGGAGGCTGAGGCAGGAAAATCGCTTGAACCCAGCACATGGAGGTTGCAGTGAGCCGAGATCACGCCGCTGTACACTAGCTTGGGCGATAGAGCGAGACTGTCTCAAAAATATATATATATCATATATATTTTATAACAGTATATATATAACATTTAATAACATAAAATATATATTATATATAACACATATTTTATAACATATATAACATATTTTATAACACATAACATATATTTTATACCCACATGCACATATATATATGTATACACAGTGGCGTGCACCCGTAGTCCCAGCTACTCAGGAGGCTGAGGCAAGAGGATTGCTTGAACCCAGGAGTTCGAGGTTGCAGTGAGCTATGATCACAACACTGCACTCCAGCCTAGGTGATAGAGTGAGACCCGGTCTCTTAAAAAATATATATATACACGTACATACATATATACGTATATACATGTATATATACGTTTATATAGATATACATATATGTATATATACGTATATGTTCGTGCATATAGGTATATATACATATATACATGTATATATACACACTTGTGTGTATATATGTGTGTGTGTATATATGTATATACGTATATATACATACCCAGTGTGGTGGCACATGCCTATAATCCTAGGATTTTGGGCAGCTGAGGCAGAAGGATCACTTGAGCCCAGGAGGTGGAGGCTGCTGTGAGCTGTCACTGTGATTGCACCCTTGGACTCCACACTGGGCAACAGAGTGAGACCAGGTCTCTAAAATAAAGAAAAGAAAAATATATATACACACACATATATAATACGCATATGTAATATATACTAATATATATATTTTTATATATAGTATATATATTACATATGCGTATTATATATATATATGCTCAACACCATGCTGGCATCTAAGCCAGTATCTAAGAGATGTGAGTGGAACCTGAAACCACAGCTGATCTGTTTCATTCGTGTTTTTCTAGGAATTTGTCCGTTTCACGTAGATGACCTAATTGGGTGTCACACACTGGTTGATAATACTACGGTATTCTCTGATAATGCTTTTTATTTCCATAAGGTTGGTAGTCATGTGTCCCCCTTTCGTTTCATTTCTGCGCGTAGTTATTTGCATCTTATTTCCTTTTCTTTTTTTGGTTTTGCTTTTGGTCAGCCTCGCTAGAGGTTTGTCAATCTTGTAGCTCTTTTCAAAGAAGCAACTTTTGGTTTCGTCGACTCACCAGTTTTTCTCATCTCTGTCTCGTCTATCGCTGCTCTGATCTTTACAATTTCCTTCCTCCTGCTGGCTCGGGGCTGCCTTTGTTCTTCCTTTTCTGGTTCCTTAAGGCAGCAGTCCTCAACCTTTTTGGCACCAGGGAGGGATTCGTGGAAGATGGTTTCTCCACAGACGGTGGGGGAGCTGGGAGGATGGTTTGGGGGCGATTCAAACGCGTTACTTTTATTGTGCACTTTATTTCTGTTATTATTATATTGTAATATATAATAAAATAATTCCACAACTCACCATAATGCAGGATCAGTGGGAGCCTGGAGCTTGTTTCCTACAACTAGATGGTCCCTGGGATGGGCGCGGTGGCTCACACCTGTAATCCCAGCACTTTGGGAGGCTGAGGCAGGCGGATCACTTGAGGTCAGGAGTTCGAGACAAGCCTGGCCAACAATATGAAACCCCGTCTCTACTAAAAATACAAAAATTAGCTAGGCGTGGTGGTGGACACCTGGAGTCCCAGCTACTTGGGAGGCTGAGGCAGGAGAATTGCTTGAACCCGGGAGGCGGAGGCTGCAGTGAGCCGAGATCGTGCCATTGCACTCCAGCCTGGGCAACAGAGCGAGACTCTGTCTCAATAACTAACAAACAAAAACTAGATGGTCCCATCTAGAGGTGATGGGAGACAGTGACAGATCGTCAGGCATTAGATTATTTTTGTTTGTTTATTTTGAGACAGAGTCTGTCTCTGTTGCCCACTTTGGAGTGCAGCGGCATAATCTTAGCTCACTGCAACCTCCGCCTCCCGGGTTCAAGCGATTTCCGGCTAATTTTTTGTATTTTTTAGTAGAGACGGGGTTTTATCGTGTTGGCCAGTCGAGACCATTAGGCATTAGATTCTCATAAGGAGCGCGCAGCTGAGATCCCTCCCATGCAGAGTTCACAGTAGGGCTCACGCTTCTGTGAGAATGTGATGCTGCCGCTGATGTGACAGGAGGCGGAGCTCAGGCGGGAATGCAAGCGATAGGGAGCAGCTGTGAATACAGAAGAAGCAGCAGGTGCGGTGGCTCACACCTGTAATCCCAGCCCTTTGGGAGGTGAAGATGGGAGGATCGTCTGAGGTCAGGAGTTCGAGACCAGACTGGCCAACATGGCAAAACCCCGTCTCTACTAAAAATAAAAAAAGTTAGCCGGGCGTGGTGGCACATGCCTGTAATCCCAGCTACTCGGGAGACTGAGGCAGGAGAATCACTGGAGAATCACTTGAACCCGGAAGGCAGAGGTTGCAGTGACCCGAGATCGTGCCATTGCACTCCAGCCTGGGGGGCCAGAGCGAGACTCTGTCTCAAAAAAAAAAAATACATATATAATTTAAATATATATTTTATTTATAAATAGACATGTTGTTTATATATATTTATAAATATATATTTGTTTATATGTATTTATATGTTTTTATAATAGATAAATATATATTTGTAAATATATTTTTATATAAATAATAAAAGATGGCATGAAAATATGATTTACCAGCATGGCAGAGCTTTTTGGCATTGCCTAGATTTTGCCCCCAAAGTGAGTGCCTCATGGCCTCACCCTAGTCTCGGCCCCCACACTCCTGACACTCAGGATGACGACGAAGGCAGTGATGATTTAAAACGTGGCCGATGGTCGAGGGGTCGCACATGCCCACGGTGTCTCGTCTGGATCCTTTTATGTCCCTCTCCATGAATATATTCTCCACGGAGAAGTCCCTGCCCTTCCTCCTGTTTTCTGACCGGGAGACCAGACCTAGGAGGTCAGACGGCCAGTGTGAGGTCCCTGGAGCCCGTCCTGAGCCTGGTCCTCTGGGATACGCACGTGCTGGCCAACGGCAGCACGGCTGGATGGCAGGTGGCATGGAGCTGCCTGGGCAGGGCTCAGGTGTCTCCAGGCTGCAGGCTCAAGCTGCCAGCCACGTGGCCACGTGCCGTGGGGATTAGGTCCCTGTGCTGCAGCATCTGCTTGGAGGGATGACAAGAGGCTCCAGCAATGACATCAGGCAGCTCTCGTCGGGCCCTGGCTAAGTCCCCTGGCCCTGTTCCCAGCAGCCCAGCCATCCCCACCGCTGACGCCTCCCCAGTCCTCAGCTCCCCTACTCAGTGACTCAGCAGACACCTCTCCCGTGCCCCCTGCAGGCCAGGTCCACTGCTGCAATTCCTTCAGTTCTCCTAGGATCCCGGGGGAGCAGGGCTCATTGTCCCCATTTTATAGGTGGGGAAACTGAGGCTTGGCAACCAAAAGATGCGGCAATGCCCAGGGGCTGGTCAGAAGCAGAGCGGGATTGGAGCCACGAGACTCTGGCCACAGAGCAGCTGGTGGTCCGTCAGGCTGTGCGGGCAACCTGCTCATTGGCACAGGCCCCTCAGAACCCAGCAGGGCCACGGTCATCCTCCCTGGGGGATAGTCACAGAAGCTGGGGCTTGGTGAGGAGGTGGGCAGAGGTGGTCGGGCGCAGTGGCTCCTGCCTGTAATCCCAGCACTTTAAGAGGCTGAGGTGGGCAGAGATCACTTGAGGTCAGGAGTTCAAGGCCAGCCTGGACAACATGATGAAACCGCGACTCTACCAAAAAATAAAAAAATTAGCCGGGTGTGGTGGCAGGCGCCTGTAATCCCAGCTACTCGGGAGGCTGAGACAGGAGAGTCAGTTGAACCCAGGAGGCAGAGGTTGCGGTGAGCTGAGATCGTGCCACAGCGCTCCAGCCTGGGCAACAGAGCAAGACTCCGTCTCAAAAAAAGCCAGCAAGGAGGGTCGCCACGGGGGCTGGATGAGACGGTGCCTCCCAGCAGCTCCTTCTCCTGCGTTCTACCCACTTCCTGTGAGCCGGTCTCAACCCAAACCCTCTTCCCCCATCCCACAAGGATTCTGAGAGTCAGGGCACCCCAGCCCCGAGGCAGCCACGTTTCCCCTTTCCACTGAGAGCTGCGAGAGGTCTCGGCACTTCCTGGGGCAGCCCAGGACTTGGCTGTGTTTCTGCATCAGCAAGAAAAGGCGTAATGGAATTTGGATAGACAAGAAAAGGGGATGTAAGCGTGAGCAAAACCACACACTCCATCTCATTGTTAGAAATTCCATGCGTGTCATCAAAACCTCATCTTGGGACAGAGGCCAAGACGAACTCACTGTCACAAGGCACTTTGTGCACAGCAAGTGTGCTGGCGTCCCTGTCATCCCCACCCTCACCCCGGGTCTGCTGGCTGACCCTGGACACAGCAGCCTTGTGGTTCCTCCCTCCTGGTCAGCTGGTGCCTGGTGCCTGGTAGCTGCAGCCGTGGTAGCTGCAGTGGTGCCTCTCCGGAAGGTTCTGGAGGAGAGACTGAAATTCCCATGCTTAGGCTCACAATGCCCCGTGCGAACCTCCAGATGAAAATGCAGCCCCAGCCGGGTGTGGTGGCTCAAGCCTGTCATCCCAGCACTTTGGGAGGCCGAGGCGGGCGGATCACGAGGTCAGGAGTTCAAGACCAGCCTGGCCAAGATAGTGAAACCCCGTCTCTACTAAAAAATACAAAAATTAGCCAGGTGTGGTGGCGGGTGCCTGTAATCCCAGCTACTCGGGAGGCTGAGGCAGGAGAATCGCTTGAACCCGGGAGGCGGAGGTTGCAGTGAGCCGAGATTGCCCCACTGCACTCCAGCCTGGGCGACAGAGTGAGACTCTATCTCCAAAACAAAACAAAACAAAACGAAAAACAAAAAGTACAGCCCTGTTTTATTGTTTGTTTTTGGTTTTGTTTTTGTTTAAGATGGAGTCTCGCTCTGTCGCCCAGGCTGGAGTGCAGCGGCACGATCTTAGCTCACTGCAAGCTCCGCCTCCCGGGTTCCCGCCATTCTCCTGCCTCAGCCTCCCGAGTAGCTGGGACTACAGGCGCCCGCCACCTCGCCCGGCTAGTTTTTTTTTGTATTTTTTAGTAGAGACGGGGTTTCACCGTGTTAGCCAGGATGGTCTCGATCTCCTGACCTCGTGATCTGCCCGTCTCGGCCTCCCAAAGTGCTGGGATTACAGGCTTGAGCCACCGCGCCCGGCCAATGCAGCCCTGTTGAAGCCCTCCCTCCAGGTTCTCCTCCATCTCTGCCCCCGCACCTGGCTGCCATTTTTGCCGAAATGTACATCCTGGACTGAAACTTGCCGACTTGCCCTTTGCTGTGTTTGAGCTTCGAGCATTGAGCCAGACACAGTTGGGTCAGCGCAGGAGCCAGGGTTCTCTCCAGAGGTCCTGACAGTTTGCTGCCAAACCTTCATGTCCAGACCTGGTGTCCTCCTGGGGGTCCCTCGGGTTTGGAACTGCCTTGGCATTGAGGATTCAAGGTGTGTGGCAGGAACAGGGACCCAGGAAACCCTCTGGTGGCCTCAGCCTGCCCAGCTTCATCACTTGAACCTGTCGGGACGCAAACAACACACACATTTCACAAGAAAGGCCACTCCTGGCTGGAACATCCCTTCCACCAGGGTCTCTGGGTCTTAGCATCACTGATATTAGGGTCAGATTATTCTTGAGATGGTGTTGTCTTTGTTTGTTTGTTTTGTTTTGTTTTTTGAGGCAGAGTCTTGCTCTGTCACCCAGGCTGGAGTGCGGTGGCGTAATCTCGGCTCACTGCCACCTCCGCCTCCTGGGTTCAAGCAATTCTCCTGCCTCAGCCTCCCGAGTAGCTGGGACTACAGGCGCCCGCCCCCACGCCCAGCAAATTTCTTTTGTATTTTAGTAGAGACCAGGTTTCACCGTGTTGCCTATGCTGGTCTCAAACTCCTGAGCTCAGGCAATCTGCCCGCCTCGGCCTCCCAAAGTGCTGGGATGACAGGCATGAGCCACCGCACCTGGGGTTTTTGTTTTTGTTTTTGTTTTTTTCCATTGTTAACATGAAAACATCCATAATGATTCTTAGCCCTCAGGGAGAACCTCCCTGGGCCTGTGGTCTTCTGGGACTTTCTAACAATGCCAGAGCTGGAGTGGGGTGGCCCTGGAGACGCCACACACCCGATGCTGGTGACCTGGAGCCCACGGGCCACAGCAGAGAACCACAGACCCGAGGTCCGTCCTTGGCCATGCGTGTGCCCGGACGGACCAGCCCCTGCTGCAGAGCCCAGAGGGGTGGGCGCACCAGGCCATGTGCACGCATGCGCAGGAGCAGCACCTGCTACGGATGGAAGTGGGGCAGGCACTCCACGTCCGAGGGCTGCCTGGGCCTGGGAGCCTCTGTCCTGGGAAGGAGATGGGCCCTGGGAACAGAGTGAGTTCCGGGAAGTAACACCCACCGTGAACTCGCTGCACCACGGCCTCCAGCCCCTTCCATCCAAGTGGCGTCTTTGGTACCCAGCGTCTGGGATGTGCCTGGGGTCGGCAGCGCAAAGCCCTCAAAGACATCTATGTCCTAATCCCTGGAAGCTGTGGCTGTGTCTCCATTTCAGTAGTCTGAAATTCCAGCTACTCGGGAGGCTGAGGCAGAAGAATCGCTTGAACCCACGAGGCGGAGGTGGCAGTGAGCCGAAATCGGGCCACTGCACTCCAGCCTGGGTGACAGGGACTCTGCAGATGGGATTGAGTGAAGAACCCCCCCCCAGTCGCCAGAGCACCACCCTGGATGACCCGGAGGGCGCAGTGACCTCACAGGATCCTCATGAGAGGAGGCAGGAGGCTGAGAGTCAGAGAGAAACTGGAAGAGGCTGTGCTGTGTCTCGTGAAGGGAGAGGAAGGCGCCCGAGCCGAGGGATACCAGAGCCTCTAGAGGAAAGGCGGGAAAGGGATTCTGCCCTGGCGCCTCCAGGAGGGACCAGCCCTGCCCGTGCCTTGATTTTAACCCCGTGAGGCCCGTGTTGGACTCTGAGCTCAGTGCTGTGAGATGAGAACCATGTCATGTGCAGCAGCCACAACAATGTCACATTACACAATGAATGTCCAGGGAGCTGCCAGTGTGCCGAGAAGGGGTTTTAGTGCAGCCTGACTGTGCATGGATGGTTGCGATCAGGGGCTTCTCAGAGGGGATGACATCGGTGGGGCTTTGCAGGATGTGTAGGAGTCTGCTGGGGGACCTGGGTGGAGAAAGACCCACCTGTGCCGAGGTGGGAAGGCCTGGTACTGCCCTGTGGACTCTTCCCAACCCTCCTGCCCTTCAGCTCCCAAGCACCACCGTCACGAGGCCGGCGCTGCCCCTTGCCCTGGCCTGGGGCCAGGGTGACAGCATTTCCTCAGCCAGGAAGCCCAGAACTGGAGTGACAGGAGCCACGGGGCTCAGTGTCCTGGCCCGGCCCCAGTTCCCGGGCTTGCAAACTCTCACATGACCGTGGTCATCCCCCACCCCCGCCGACCCCACCGCCGGGTGGACAGAGAGCAGCTTTTCTTTTCTCCCGCTCCCGTCACCGCGGAGACCAAACCCACAGTGGCGGCACGTCACCCTCTGTCATCGCGGCCTCTTTGTCTGAACAAGCCGGCTCATTCTTAGGCTCCAAGCTCCGGCCGAAGGCAGCGGCGGGACCTGCCCCGCTGGTCTATTTTTCACTTTCTCGTGGGCACCTCATTCATTCCCTCTCTTTAGCCCCTTCTAAATATAGCTGCCCCGGGGACCGATTTAGACCGGGAGCAAAGGGCCCGCACTGACAGGGACAGTCACCAGGCGCTGTTTTCCAGCCAGGGTGCGGCCCTCCCATCCGTGTGGCAGAGCCCCCCCCCACTGCAGCCCTGGGCCCCACGGCCCTGCCTTGAGGTCACAGAGCCACTAACGGTCAGAGCTGGCACGAAGGCCCCACACACAGCTGCCCTCCCAGGCCCTGCTGGGGTGACCTGGCCCTGGAGGGGCTGCAGGTGCGGGGAAGGGCCCATCCTGGGTGCAGGGTCTCTGCATGTAGACCCTGGGTGCTGATGGGGACCTGGGGTTCTGTGGAGGGGGCGGCAGTTGTAGCCAGTGTCAGACCTGTCTCTTGTATTAGAGTTTCCATGTCAGTCGGGCTCCCGGGGCTCTGCGTGGATCCGCCTCTTTGGCGTCCTGGTGAGAGCATGGCAGGGCATGGGGGGGTCTGCATCCCAGCTGCCAGGGCACATATCAACGCCTGACCCTCGCCCTGTGCCTTCTCACCTGATGGCCTGTGTCTACTCTAGAAGCTGTGTGCACCTTTCTTTTTCGTTTGTTTGTTTTGTTTTGTTTTGTTTTGTTTTTGAGGCAGAGTCTGGCTCCGTTGCCCAGGCTGGAGTGCAGTGGCGCAATTTTGGCTCACCGCAACCTCCACCTCCCGGGTTCAAGCCATTCTCCTGCCTCAGACTCCCGAGTAGCTGGCATTACAGGTGCCCACCACCACTCCTGGCTAATTTTTTTGTATTTTTAGTAGAGAGGGAGTTTCACCATGTTGGCCAGGCTGGTCTCGAACTCCTGACCTCAGGTGATCCGCCTGCCTCGGCCTCCCAAAATTACAGGCATGAGTCACTGCACCTGGCCTTTTTTTTTTTTTTTTTTTTTTAAAGACAGGTTCACTCTTGTTGCTTAGGCTGGAATATAGTGGTGCAATCTTGGCTCATTGCAACCTCGCCTCCCAGGTTCAGGCGATTCTCCTGCCTCAGCCTCCTGAGCAGCTGGGATTACAGGCATGCGCTACCATGCCCAGCTAATTTAGAATTTTTTTATTAGAGACGGGGTTTCACTATGTTGACCAGGTTGGTCTTGAACCCCTGACGTCAAATGATCCACCCACCTCGGTCTCCCAAAGTGCTGGGAATACAGACATGAGCCACCGCGCCTGGCCTATGTGAGCACCTTTCTGCAGAGTCTAAACCAGGGTCCCCTAGGCCTGTAGACATGGGGGCAAGATCGTTCTCCGAGGTGGGGCTGTCCTGGGCAGTGCAGGGTGCTGAGCAGTGTCCCAGGCCTCCACCCACTCCAGGCCAGGAGTACCCCCCAGCTATGACAGCCACAGATGTCCCCAGACATCACCCAGGGGCCCCTGGGGGGCAGAATTACCTCTAGGTGAAACCCCCAGAGATAGAGGATTCCATGGACCCTCAAGAGACTCTGCATCCCATGATCCTCTGCCTTGCTGAGGTCCCAGGAGGCTGCACACAAGGAAATCCACACTGAGTTGGGAGGGAGAGAGGAGGTGAATCCCAGGAGCTGGAGGTCCCCCTGGTTCACACTGTCTGCCCCATTGGCAGCTTATTCTGGTGTGGGTGGGGATTGAACCCCATTTTCCCTAAATAATTAACTCAGGGTCTCCTCCCTCAGCACTGTGGACAGTGGGGTCAGATCCTTCTCTGGGGTGGGGCTGTCCTGGGCACTTACGGTTGCTGAGCAGCGTCCCTGGCCTCCACCCACTCCATGCCAGGCGCTCCCTCAACCCCGACAACCACAGATGTCCCAGGCATTGCCTAGGGTTTCCTGGCGAGGCTGAATCAACCCCCGTCCCCCATTAAGAGCCACTGTTGGCCCAGCATGATGGCTCGTGCCTAAAATCCCAGCGCTTTGGGAGGCGGAGGCGGGCAGATCACCTGAGGTCCGGAGTTTGAGACCAGCCTGGCCAACATGATGAAAACCCATCTCTACCAAAAATACAAAACTTAGCTGGACATGGTGGGGGCAGGGGGGCGTCTGTAACCCCAGGTACTCGGGAGGCTGAGGCAGGAGAATTGCTTGAACCCAGGAGGTGGAGGTTGCAGTGAGCCGAGATCCCGCCACCGTACACTGTCCTCAGGGGGCTTCTGTGACATGCACGGAGGTCCGCATGGCTCCCGGGGGTGGGCATGGCTGAGGCCCTCATGCCCACAGCAGGTGTGCAGATGTGCACATTAACGCAGGTGCCCGGGGACACAGCTCTCTGCAAACCCAGCTGCCCCAGCCACGGTACGAGGGCAACTTGTTCCTCGCAGTGCCTCAGAGCCTTCTCTTCTCTCCCAAACTACTGTTCTGTTTTGTTTGGGTTTGGATCTTTTCCTCTCTAAACATAACACCCTGTCTCTTTTGTCTCTGGACACTGTGTTCTCAGAAGCAGTCATCCCTCCACGGCGAAGGGCTGACGTTTCCACTCCAAGCATTGTTTCCCCTCCCGCCAAATCTGGCTGCTGTTTTTGTTGCTTGGGGTTTATTTTTCTTCCCTTTTTCGTGGCAGGCAGAGGTTTGGAGGGGTGAAGGGGGGATTACCAGGCCCCCAGGAGGAAAGAGTCCAGGAGCTCTGTGAGCTGTAAAGCTACTGGTTCTGGAAGTTTTAAAGCCAGATGAAGGCTGCTTCTGTTCTCACGTTGCTGCTGCAGGCCGGCCGCCCCTCCTGCCTTCAAGGCCACCTTCCCGGGGGCCTGACTCACCCCGGCACGGCACGCCGCGCCACACAAGGCTGGGTCTGCTCTGATGAGCAGACTGGAAAAGCGCAGCCTCCTCATTGTGGAACTGCCTGGAAGCCGCCAGAGGCTGCTCCGAGCTGGAATTCTCTGAGCCTGACTTCCTGTGCCGTCAGGAGAGCAAACGCACGCCCGGCTTAGGAGCCGGTTTACAGGAAGCAGCGGTGGGGGGACGGCTTGCTCAGCTCATAGAGAAGTCACCCTCTGCACGGGTTTTTGTGTTTTTTTTTTTTTGTTTTTTTTTTTGTTTTTGAG